TCGGTATATAAGAATTATTATTCATTCCCCTTTCTCTTTTTATTTTAGGGGCGTGCTGGGTGTGGGGGCGTGGGGCGCACGCGTGTGGGCGGCTGGGGCGCACGCGTGGGCGGTTGGGGCGCGGGGCAAGACACGCGAAATCGGGCGGTTGGAGCGCGTGCGGATGCCAGAGAAGGGGCGCGCGCGCGTGCGGGTGACAGGGAAGGGGGCGCGCGCGCGTGCAGGCGGCTGGGACGAGGGGTGCGTGCGCTCAGTGGGCGTGTCAGGGAACAGACGCGTGCGCGGTCGGGGAGCGGGGCGCGCGCAAGTGAGCTGCTAGGGCGCGCAGCGTGGAGGCGCGCACGTATGTTGTTTCGCGGGGCGCGCGATTGCTAGGGGGCGCGCGATGGAGAAGCAGGGCGCGGGGCGCGCGTTTGTTGGTCTGCGGGGCGCGTGATTAAAAGGGGGTGCGCGCACGTTTGTTAGTTTATGGGGCGCGCGCCCGTGTTTAGGGCAAGGGGCGCACGATTGGTGGGGCGCGCGCGAGCGTGTTGGGGCGCGGGGCGCACACGCATGTTGGGGCGCGGTGCGCACGAATGCCGGCTGTTGGGGCGCGGGGCGCGCCCCTGCGGGCAGTTGGGGAGCTGGGCACGCACTTGCGGGCTGTTGGGGCGCTAGGAGACTTGATCTTTTTTTTCTTTTTTTTTAGGCGGTTGATGTCCACCTCCTGGCAATGTTCTATCTTTGGAGTAGGGAGACTATATCTTGAGATGGGATTTGAAATTCCTTGGGGTTGAAAGGTAAATTTACCGCTGCTCACTGTCAGTGTCGTTGAACTTGCACCTATTGCCAACGATGAACCGTACATCTTTGTAAAATTTTCCGGCACGATCTGCACCGACATATATGTATATATAACAACATTATTATACATATTGTTTTTACTATTAACATAACATAAATTTGAGAATGTTTGCAATGTCAATATACGGAAAAATATAACACGTGATCAAATTAATCATTAGTTTCAATTAATACTACTTACGATTCTTTCGCGGTAATCTCGCATAAGGATGAATATAAAAAACGACGGTAGACAAAACGTGTTCTCCATTATTTATTCGAAGCTCTTAATTTTTTGTTTATGTTCTATCTGAAACAACAATATTTATATACTTTCATATAGTAATATTCCTACCAATTCAGGTATGAGAATACATCTTACGTTTTTACACCGTTTACTATTAAAACCATATATTTTTATAATCGCCACATTATGTTAATTTTTAATATTATATTATATTGAAGGTCGACATCTGTCAGACGATACTTTGATAAACTACGCTTTGATCGAAATAGAAAATATATTGCAAAGCAACAGCAAAAGCATGAGTAACTTTCCCCCAATGTCGATTCCAATTGGGTCGATGACGGACGGCACGGTAAATAGATTAGTTCTCGACGAGTTGGAATATGACATTGATGCTATGCGTGAAGAGCTTATGAAATACCTTTCATCCATTAATGATGAGCAGAAAAAAGTGTTCAATGATATCATGGATGCTGTTACAAATGACAGAGGTGGACTGTTCTTTCTTTATAGGCATGAAGGAACGGGAAAGACTTTCATATGGAAAACTCTATCGGCTGATATCCGTTCAAAAGGAGAAATAGTTATAAATGTTTTTTCCAGTTGTATTGCTTCGCTTCTACTTCCAGGGGGCAGAACTGCTCATTCCATATTTGGACTGCCAATAATTGTACATGAGAGCTCCACATGCAGCATCAAACAACAGAGCCCACAGGCAGAGTTGTTGTCTAGAGCACAGCTAATCATATGGGACGAGGCACCGATGATGCACAGGTATTGTTTCGAAGCACTCGACAAAACAATGAAATCTATACTTGATTCATATATGCCATTCCGAGGCAAGGTTGTAGTGTTTGGAGGGGACTTTCGGCAAATTCTGCCAGTTGTGTTGAAAGCATCGAGACAAGACATTGTTCATGCTACAATCAATTCATCACCGTTGTGGAGACAATGCAAGGTTATGAAGTTAAACAAGAACATGAGACTTGAGTCGTCCTCCTCTTCCGCCAACGCAGATGAAATAAGAACATTTGCGAACTGGATATTGAGAATCGGCAATGGCGATGCTGGCGAGATAAATGACGGTGATGCCACAATTGAAATTTCCCGATGACATGCTGATTCGGAATTTTTGCAGATTCTTTTTTGGATCTTATAGAGTTTGTATCTCCGATCTGGTGACCAACTTTTTCACCCCCGAGTATTTCAAAGGCAGAGCAATCCTTGCACCCACTAATGAAAGTGTTGGTTTTGGGAACGATCATTTTTTGTCGATCATAACAGGAGAGGAGAAGGTCTATTTCAGCTCAGATAGTATGTGCAAGGAGGAGTTGTTGTCGGATGTCAACGCAGAAATATACTCACCGGAGTTTCTCAACACCATATCATGTTCCGGAATTCCACCGCATAAGTTGACATTGAAAAGAGGTGCTCCCGTTATGCTCATCAGAAATATCGATCAGGCCAGAGGATTGTGCAATGGAACAAGGATTCAGATTATTAATATGGGAAAACACGTTCTCAACTGCAGGATCTTGTCCGGTAAACATGATGGTGATATCGTGTTCATTCCTAGAATGACTTTGGTACCGTCCAACTCTGCATTGCCTATTAAATTCCAGCGACGACAGTTTCCGCTGATGGTATCATTCGCAATGACAATCAATAAAAGTCAAGGAAAAACTCTTTATCACGTGGGCCTGTACTTACCGAGACCTGTTTTGAGTCACGGACAGCTCTATGTCGCACTCTCGAGGGTTAAGAGTCGAAGTGGCATAAAGATTTTGATTAACTCGGAATCTGGTGATGCAACCAACGTTACAAATAATGTTGTATACAAGGAAGTTTTTCAGCGTATATGAAGGTAATTATTTATACAAAAAATTACACTATTTATTGACGACCTTTATTATCTATAATTTTTATGTTTTGTTATTCCTCATTCGTAGGTTTATTTTAATTGCACTAGGAACTTGCTATGGACTCCGCTCGCTATATTTCATGAAAGTAATCTTTTTACAATGATTTTATGCAATTAAACAGTTATATTGGTGTTGTTTTGGTAACAATTTAAATATTTCGTGTGACCATTTTACAATATATGTAGGTCAGTTGCATTGTATTGGATTTGTTGCATGCGTTTAGGGCGGTCGGTATCAAACAATTCAAGTTTTCAACGTTCATGTCATTATGGTTGTACAAGTTTTGGACCAACTATATATTCGTTCTTTTGTATGCGGAAATTAAAACCTTCGATGTTTAGTTTTTTTTCACTTATTTCGGCTTATTTTGAACTTACACCATACAAATTATTTTTATTTTTGAATATGTTCTACTTCTTTCTTTTACTTATTAACAATTAATATCACTATTTTGAGAACATTTTTTATTATTCAATATTTGTTTTACGATGAATACCCCGTGCATCGCACGGGTGTGTTACTAGTAACCATAGTAATGTAAACAAAATACTATTGTACACATTTCGAGTAATGGTAAATATTCAAATCTAAAATTTATTTAACTATATTCAAATAAAAAAATCAACATTTAATCCAAAACATTAAATCAATTAAAAAAATTTTAAATCATGCAATATTTTTATAACTTATTTTCATTGTATAACAATGTAACATATCAGAATACGGGTTTCGATGCTATAAAAATGTATAGATTCGAAATACTATTAAAATTTGACGATATTTGATAAGGATTAAAAAAGCTACTTATAGTTTACTAAAAAAAAAATTTAAATGAATATAACAGGGGCCATTATCACGTCTACAATATACTATCGCACATATTTTAAATTGATAGAGTATTATTATTTGATATGAGTATGA